GAGGATGCTGCACGAGAGGCTGCGCCTGCGCCGACGACACCGTCGCCACGTGCATTACCAGCCCCGGCGCCGATGCCCGCTCCCGCTCCGGCACCGGCGCCAGTGCCGAGGCTGAGCAAGCAGAAGAGCTCCATGAGCTCCGTGCTGAGCTCCGAGGATGCTGCACGAGAGGCTGCGACCCAAATCTTTGACGACTTTCTGATGGCAAGATGCGGCTGTCCGACTCGACATTCGTCTTCTTCTCCTCGGACAACGGCTTCCACCTCGGCGAGCACCGCATGCTCTTCGGAAAGACAAAGCCCTACGCCACCGACGTCAGGCTGCCAATGTACGTCGCCGGCCCGGGTCTCCCGCGCGGCGAGACGCGGCCGCTACCCACCACACACCTCGACATCACCGCCACCATCGCCGAGCTGGGAGGCGCAGCCAAGCACGCGCCGCACCCTCTCGACGGCCTCTCGTTCAAAGCCGCGCTCGGCAGCACGCCACCGGCGCTGTCTGAGTGGCGTGACTTCTCCTTCTCGGAGTTCTATGTCAACGATAATACGTGGAGGAACATCCGCCTGATCGACCACGCGACGGGCCAGCCAGCGTGGGCCTTCCACTGGTGGTGTAGCAACCAGTCCGAGGTTTACCGCGAGGCCGACGACCCGTTCCAGATGGCCAACGTCGGAGGCGACGATCCGACGCCCTTTGGCCGCTCCATCGTCCGCCGCTACCTGCCCGCGACGGAGGTGCTGGGCGCCTGCGTTGGCGGAGCGTGCAATCGAATGCCCCCAGCCGGCACGCCCTCCGCGAACCCACTCCCTTGCCACGACCCGGGTGAGCTACTCCATGTAGATGAGGCGTGGATGGACTAGAACCTGGCGGCTGCTTTACTCAGACACTCGATGGTGAGAGGGTCTGGGAAGGGGTTGACGACGACGACGGGCCGACATTGGTTGTTGTTCTGCCTGTTTGGGTCACCCGCAGGAGTTGCGAGGGGCGCCCCCTGGCCTACCACTTGTAAGGTGCTCGTCTACCCAGTCCACGTAGAGCTCTAGTTGATCCCAACAGTCGACAGATGTTCTATTCACGAGTTGTTTTTGTTAAATTCTATTCATGTCGATCCGTTTCATCGATTCGTTGGGACGGATGAATGAAGAGCGAGTTAGCCCAGCAGGCCGCGATGAGCAGGAGGCCCCCGGCGCTCGTCCCGCCGGATCCAGCTTACCTCGCGCGCCAACGAAAGAAGAATAAGTTCGAGTCAGGCATCGCACAAACGCCGCTCGCGGGCGTTTTGACCTTTCCCTCGGGAGTGGGCAGTGCGGTCAAATACAGCCCGCCAAGCGCAAATGGCAACATTGGTCAACAACGCCGCAAGACGCAGCAATCTCCACCCCCTCGCCCCGCATCGTACAAACAACCGGACACGCATATCCTGCCTGCGCCGACGACACCGTCGCCACGTGCATTACCAGCCCCGGCGCCGATGCCCGCTCCCGCTCCGGCACCGGCGCCAGTGCTGAGGCTGAGCAAGCAGAAGAGCTCCATGAGCTCCGTGCTGAGCTCCGAGGATGCTGCACGAGAGGCTGCGCCTGCGCCGACGACACCGTCGCCACGTGCATTACCAGCCCCGGCGCCGATGCCCGCTCCCGCTCCGGCACCGGCGCCAGTGCCGAGGCTGAGCAAGCAGAAGAGCTCCATGAGCTCCGTGCTGAGCTCCGAGGATGCTGCACGAGAGGCTGCGACCCAAATCTTTGACGACTTTCTGATGGCAAGATGCGGCTGTCCGACTCGACATTCGTCTTCTTCTCCTCGGACAACGGCTTCCACCTCGGCGAGCACCGCATGCTCTTCGGAAAGACAAAGCCCTACGCCACCGACGTCAGGCTGCCAATGTACGTCGCCGGCCCGGGTCTCCCGCGCGGCGAGACGCGGCCGCTACCCACCACACACCTCGACATCACCGCCACCATCGCCGAGCTGGGAGGCGCAGCCAAGCACGCGCCGCACCCTCTCGACGGCCTCTCGTTCAAAGCCGCGCTCGGCAGCACGCCACCGGCGCTGTCTGAGTGGCGTGACTTCTCCTTCTCGGAGTTCTATGTCAACGATAATACGTGGAGGAACATCCGCCTGATCGACCACGCGACGGGCCAGCCAGCGTGGGCCTTCCACTGGTGGTGTAGCAACCAGTCCGAGGTTTACCGCGAGGCCG